ACAAAAGTATTTATTATTTTATCATTATTTTTTATTATTTTTGCGCTAGTATTAAATAAACATAATTTTGAAATCGAAAACTGCTAACCCGTTTGTCAATTGTCCTCCTAAAATAGAAATGTCCCCATTTTTTTGTACTTCATTAAATGTTATATGTATATACAAAATGGTTTTTGTTTTTCTTTATTAGTTAACCTTTGAGTAATTTTTCCATACTTAGTCGCATATTAGGTATTTAATAAAATTTGATAAAATTTCGATGGTCCCTAAGTGCGAGTGCGACTCTGTACAAGCACATCTGCCCAGGCCTCGCCTGAGGGATCACGTGCACTATGCATGACAATGTTTTGGTGCACTCCGTAGCTTCGTTGGATTTAGTATATTCGAATCCAATCTAGTAGGTAGGTTTATTAATTATTGAAATTCCTGGAACAACATCTGAAATTTCCCGAGAGATTTCAATTGAGGCTCTCGAATTTAAACTTCAAATGCAATTCGGTTCGAATATCAAAAAAAAAATTATGGAAAAAAGAAAAATTGAGCCATGGAAGAAAGTTTTTGTTTGCTAAATTTATTTGAAATTCTGCAATCTGCAGCTAGTGAATTATAGTGTTTCTACATTGTATAAAAAACCAATAGCGGAAAGTATACCAATTCTTCGAAGCAACAACTAGACCAACTCTTGAAGGCTCTTGTTCGGGATACCAGTCCCTAAAAAACATATAATTTCCCTGTTGAATCCCCAGTTATTCTTTAAAGGATTAAGTTGTTCGGATCCGTTGAGCTGCTTCTTTCAGAAAGGGATCCAAAGGCTTTAGAATTAAAATACCTTTTGAGCACAGTAATCACGTTAATGAGATGAAGTGCTTAACTACATTACGACTTCACAATTTAGCTGCACCCATTAAAAATCTAATTAACAAAGTTGCCGTACCTATCCATTTGAAACCAGTAAAATTTTTAACTGTCTGTTCCAGGTAAATTTGAATCTTGCGAACAGCTATAAGACCAGCCAGAGTTTATACCTGTTGAACCTCCGAAGCAAATAAATTATCTCAAAAAGTGTGGACAATTAGTTACATTAAGCTGTCTTATATAACCATTACTCTTTCAAGAAAAACATTTTCCCTTGTAGTCAATAGAATTAGAATTAATAGCATAATGAAAATTGAATAAGTGTCCCTCTTATCCTTCTGGTTGCATTCAATGAATCTCTCATTATTTCTATAGATAATAAAAACAACCAGGAATTTTCGGATCAGTAGAAGGATTTAACATTCGTATGATCCGGTTTAATTCCACTACCATTATAACCCTAAACTTGGGCTAAGAGCTCTTTTGAGTTAGGAGAGAATTATTATTTTGGTAACAGCAATAATGTTTTGTTAATGAATTGCCGGATTTGTACCTATAAAAATGAAATAGGCTTTGGGCTGTGTGGATTATTTAAATGAAAAGGACAAAGGTATAAAGGAAGGACATTGTGTTTTTTGTCCATTATTTCAAATGTATATTGGTGAAAGCAAGTTACTTGAACTAATTTCTATGTTTATAGTTCTATTCAATCTGCCTTGTACATTTCAAGCACTATAGGATGCCTGGAAGCCTTATTCAATAATGGAGTTTGGAGTTTATGTATTTTATAAAGTTGTAATAAACAGACGACAAGCAATTCCTTTCTCAATTTTCCTTTTCCGGCCAATACCGTAACATCCATCCTCGGGGACGTTTTCCAGGACCACACTCGACTCGTGTGTTTCGCCTTTCGGAAATGTTTCCAAACTGGCGTTTTTGAAAGTTTTATGTTTGCTCGCGAAACATCATAGCAGTTCAGTATAAATATTAGATCGCGAAAAACGATGCCTGTCCTGGATCGAGTTGAGCTGTTTTTGTATTATTGAAAAGCGGTCTTGATGTTTTTTCCAGAGCAAAAAAAAATGGCGAACGGGGATTTGATGATAGCTTTACTGGCATATGAACATACTTGTGAAATTTTTAGGATTCAGGAAACAAGTGATACGGTATTGAGTAAGTGGAAGTGACTTGAAACAGAGGCAGTCGGTTCGGAGCGCTGTGGCATCGTTGAAAGGGGTTTGTTACATGTTTCGCCAACAGGTTATTTCTCTTATGTAAATACGATTTTATCTGCGAAATTGTGACGATAAAACGGTAAAACAAAACGCAAACACAACACTTCCAAATTTGATAAAATCAAACCAAATTTCTTATTGGGTGAAGAATTAAAATTTGAAATACTATAAAGTTGACCTTTAGCTCAAACTAACCAAAATCGTAAAGAAATCTTTTTTAAATAAGAGTGCAAGGTAGCTTGAATATTGAAGCACACTTTCAAATCCGTGAACTGATTTATTGTGAAATAAAACACGAACATGGCCCAAAAAAATCTAATCGGTGAACCGGAAGGTGAAACAAGGAACTCCCAATCTGGAATAAGCAAACAAACCACCAAATCTCAACTTATAAAACTTCTAATAAGTCTAAATAAATGTTCAACAATTTCCCTGGCTCTAGAAAATTTACAAATTCAAATTCCTGTTGGTGAAATAAATTCAATCACGATGTTAAATTCTCTTGACACGTCGTCTTTTGACCAGTGAAAAAAAAAAAAACTTTATTTTCAGAAAAGCAAATTTTCGTCCTGGGCAAAAGTTTTATCGGATTCAGTATTTGGTCAAGGCGTCCTGAATTTGAATACAGCTCGTACGTACGACGAGCCAAAATAGGAGATGAAAAATAAAAATTATGCAACGCTATTTGCAAAATAAGGTGTGACGATTTTCGATACTTATTTTCCCAGTCACAAAACATGGATAGAATTGTAGGGTCAGTAATTCTAAGCAAAATTCATATTTATTTAGGGAGGGTTTTCCGATGGGTTGTGGCGGAAAATGCGTCAGAACATACGAAACCAGGGTCCTTTTCTTTCCAGTGATAAAAATATTTCTACTAGTAAGAGGTATACTGAAATTATGTAAAAAAATAGTCTGGCTAATCTGTGAATATGGATGATATGTTTTTTTCAACAAAAAAAATTCCCTCATTTTCGCAGTCATGAAAATTTATTTGATGATGGCCTATATCATAATGTCAGCTTAAAATACAATCTGGCTTATATGAAACACCCCCAAGGCCTTGCCAGATTTGTCGAATGATCGCAGGCGCGCTAAATTCGATTCGATTATACAGGTTATTAGTGTCACATGTAGGTACATGTTATGTTTGTTTCATCCACCCCTACGAAAATACATTTTTTTTTATCTTGCATAGGCGAGCGAAAACGCAATTGAAACATGCTAGTATAATAGTCACTTTTACTTTGGCATGCCTATTCAAGATAAAAATAAGCTATTTTTATATCCAGTGCGCGAAATGCTTGGAATGTAGATAACTATTGACGAATTCATTAATTTTAACCTTCGGATAGTCGCGTCAAATTTTTTTAAGTGAGTAGTCGCGTCGGTCTCACAGACCGTACAACTTAATTAACCCCCAAATAAATAGCGAAATGTACTTTTTCTACTTGCGTGCGCAAAGTTATTACTTTGCGCACTCATTTGCGTGCGCAAAGGTGAACTTTGCACACGGAAACTATTTGCGCACTCATTTTTTGTTACGCATAGTAACCGCATTTAAACTCGATTTTTCAATGTTTTGTGGGTTTCTGGATAAACTTATATTCAGAAAGAAGGGCCTGATGTTATTTTTGTTCCGTTCCAAGAAAGGCATTCAGGTAATGTTTAGCTTTTTTAATTTGACACTTTCCATATAAGGAGCGAGGGGAGGAAAAATCTAGCAAAAATAAATGTGAGGTCAGGTGACCGTTGACATGCGGAGTCAACTCACATTTCTTTAGAGTATCAGATTATAAAGTTGGACTGTAAGTTTTACTCTTCCATATACTACCCAACTTAATGGTGCTGCGAAAAGAATGAATCAGACACCAATAGACCAAGCAAGATCTATGATAATGCAAGCAAAAATGGATAATATATTTTGGGAAGATGCTATACTTGTGGCTACGTAAAACTAATTTAACAAGTCACATGAACAAATATCGTCGTGGTAAATTAAGTCTCAATTTGGCAGCAAAAACAAACTTAACGACTTGTTCAAATTTTAATTAAGTAAACCTCGCTAGCACAACCAATGTTGCAAATAAGGTAAAGCTGATCACTGAAAAGAAAAAAATTAAAAACACAATACATTGAATTAGGAGAGAAAATTACTAGTTTTGAGCATCTGGAAATATTTAAGAAGATTGGGTAACGCTCCTCTCTGGATGCTATGCAAATCTTTGGACACTCGTAGAAAAAATATTGTTCCTAACACTTGCGCAAAGTGTCTTTCCCGCACTCAAAGCTTATCCGAACTCCGCTTCGCGTCGTTCGTCTAACTGCTTTTTCGTGCGGGAAAGTATCACTTTGCGCACTTGTTAGGAAAATAACTATTTCAAAAAATACATGCAGGGATGTTTTAACAAACATTATAAATGATTGAGAAAAAAAAATGGAGTACATTTGGCAAATTTTTCCAAATATACCACAACAGGTCGTGTCGTTGACCTGAACAGACACGTGCTTGTGCGCTATTCATAAAGTTCCAATTTAAGTAGTGAAACGTTATAGAAAATCCACATTTTTTTTTCTCCGAGTGCCTTGGATGTTGGCGGTAGATGGGTGAGTGATTTGTTCCACCATAGAAATTGCGTAAGCGTAAGCGGCCATCAAAGAAAAAACCTCGGAATGTCTCAGTGTGGTTTTTGCAACACGCCAGCATCAGGCTCTCGAAGTAAGCCGTATCTCACCTGCGCCGGTACCTGCCTGAAGCGCTTTCATATTGAATGCATGCGTATACCCAGTGAGGTGACAAATTTAATATCGACGGTCCCTGGTCTAATTTGGCGCTGCCCGTCATGCCGCAGTCTGCCTTTCGCCGACATTCAGAGTACCATAAAGACATCGATTACTGAATGTCTGCCCATGGATAATTTCAAGAAAGATTTAATACTGACCATAAATGAAAATATAAACAAAATCAAGGATTCTATATTGCAGACCATTAATGCCAGTATTGACGGAAAGTTTCTTGGCCCACAGCCGAAGGAAATAATACCTAAGCCTAGCTACGCGGAAATGTTGTGTCCTAAGCAGTCCAGAATTGTCATCAGACCTAAAGATAGCAGCCAAGATAACACCCGAACAAAAAATGATATTCTCAACCATATTAGACCTGCGGATGAAAATATCCAGCTAAGCAGGGTTAAGCATATATCGGACGGGGGTATTCTTCTGACAGCAGACTCTAGTAGCGTAAGAAGAGTTAAAGACATTGCCAATGAGAAGCTCGCAGAAGGTTATGAAATTCGAGAACTTAAGTCAGCACTACCAGTTGTTACCATCATCGGACTGACAGAAGATTACTCAAACGAAGCTCTTGAACACCATATCAGATCTCAAAATAAAAATATTTTTAACAACTTATCTGAGCTAAGTGTACTTAAAGTTTGGTCCACAAAAAATAATGCTGATATTTTTCAGGCCAATCTGCAGATTGATACGGTGACTTTTAATAGTCTAAAACAGCATAACCGAAATGTAGTTGGCCTTGACAACTGCAATATATACGATTCTACCTCGATTACCCGCTGCTTTAAATGTAATAACTTTGGTCACTCTCTAAAATACTGTTAAAAAACTGTAACGATTTGCCCCCTCTGCGCAGGCTCACACGATGTTAAAGCTTGTAAAGTTAAAGCAGAATCTTGCTGTAACTGCGATTTCCTTAAATGTCAATATAATCTATCCATTAATACAAATCATGCGGTATGGAATAAATCTGCTTGCTATGCTTTTAAGCAAGCTAACAAAAAGTATAAAGCCGAAATTTTTGGGTCCACTCTGTAGCAACCAAACTCCAACTTCCCCTTCTACAATACCTTTAAACCTGATGCATGCACAAACGATCTATACCCGCGTTCAATGCAAATTCATTCACTGTCGATCAATCGAACTCGAATGCCGATGCCTGACCTTCGCATATACTACCGAAATGCCAGGGGACTTCGTACGAAAGCTAAGACTCTTTACAATTCAGTATTAACGTGTAATTTCGACGTTATCGCTATATCCGAAACATGGCTAAATGATAGGATATTTGACTCTGAACTTTTCTCGCAGGATTATTCAGTATACCGCTGCGACAGAAGTTATAATGAGCTAAGTGTGAAAAGAGGTGGAGGGGTTATGCTTGCCGTTAAGCAAACTTTTGCCGTCTCAGACTTAAATTTAGTACTTCCACTATCGCTTCGCAGTATGGTGGAGATTGTGGGGGTAAAAATTGTATCTGAACATCCAGTATTTTTGTTATTCTTATTTATATTCCACCTAACCTTGCACTTGATATATATGAATTTATCTTTGAGTATATAAGCTAACTAACGTACTTGTATCACTCGAAAACAGTGTTTCTTGGAGATTTTAACCTGCCGGAGTATAGTTCATATTTAGAAGGGTCAGTACTCACTAACAATGTCTCTCAGATCATTAATTTTTTAGAGTTTTTTGACTGGAAACAGTTAAACATGATAAAAAATCTTCAAGGAGGACTGTTGGACTTGGTCATAACTTCGAGGTTTAATTCTTGTACAGTACAAAGGTGCCATGATTTTTTGCTTATTGAAGACATCTATCATCCATCTCTTCTCATAAAATTCGAAATGTCTGCTGACAAAAAATTTAATAACTCCAAAGTTGAAAATGTCTTTTACAATTTCAAACGAGCTGATCTCAGGGCTTTATATGCTAGCTTTTTGGACATCAATTGGGATATTCTTAAATCAGTTGGAAATATTAATACTGCTCTTGAACTATTTTACCTGAAAATATAGCGCTGTCTTGATGATCATGTTCCTCAAACCTCCAAAAGGCGTAGAACCTATCCACCGTGGTTCTCTCCGCAAATAATAAAATTAATAAAACAAAAACATGGTGCCTGGAAAAAGTATAAACGCTTCAGGAGTCAGCGGGATTTGGATTCTTTTCGAGAAATGCGGTTCCAGTTAAAAAAGGACATTGATCTTTCTTACAATAACTACTGCTCAGATCTTGAAGTAAATATTGGCTTAAATCCAACCCATTTCTGGAAGTTCATCCAGAGCTCACAAAAAAATAATTCTCTACCAAACAACTTCACAGATCAAACGGGCTCACTTTTGTCAGACCCACAAAAAATTACTGAAGCGTTTGCGCAATTTTTTCAGAGCTCTTACACAACCCCGACCATTCAGCCCTTAAAGCAGATAGATCCAAGAACCACACTAACAGATACCATTAATATTGACTGCATAACAGAAGAGCAAGTTCTAAGGGCTTTGAAAGGCATTAAGCCCAAGGCAACTGTGGGGCCTGATAAGATTCCTGCATTTCTTATATCTGATTGTGCCGATGTCTTTGTTGAACCCCTTACGATATTATTTAATTTTTCTTTGAAATACGAAGAATTTCCCTACTTGTGAAAACAATACAAGATCATACCAGTTCATAAAAAGAACGACAAAAGTCTCATTGAAAACTATCGTCCGATCACAATTATTAACAACTTCTCAAAATGTTTTGAGCGCGTTCTTCATACTGCCCTTTACTTCCCTATGAGAGATCTCATAGATACTCGTCAGCATGGCTTTATGCGAGGCAGATCCACTACTTCTAACCTCATTACAATTACTGAATATATTTCTGATGCAATTAACTCAAGCTCACAGGTTGACGTTATCTATACAGATTTCTCTAAAGCCTTCGATAGACTGGACCATGGCATTCTCGTTGAAAATCTACATAATCATTATGGTTTCTCTTCGCGCCTTATCAATATATGTAAATCTTACCTCGCAGGTCGCTCTCAGCACGTTGAATGCTTTGGTCGTAGTTCTTCAAAAATCATTGCCTCATCCGGTGTTCCACAAGGCTCCATTCTGGGTCCACTCTTCTTTAACTCTTTTATCAATAAAATATCCGAGAATCTTAATGTCAAAAGTCTGTTATATTGTGATGATATGAAACTGTACTGTAGGGTGGACAGCATATCTGACTGCATTCAACTTCAAGCCGATCTAACTTTAGTAAACCAATGGTGTAAAAATAACAATCTGCCACTCAATGCTGCTAAGTGCTGTATAGTTTCATATTCCCTCAAAAAAAATTCCATTGAATTTAATTAGATTATAACATCGATAATTCTTCTCTACTCAGATCACACTCTTTTAAAGATCTAGGGGTGACCTTTGACACTTCTATGTCATTTCTTCCTCACATTTCCGATATAATAAGAAGAAGTTACAGAATGCTAGGCTTTATAATAAGAAATTCTAAGGCTTTTAATAGCATCCATAGTCTCAAAATATTATATTTTTCATATGTTCGTCCTATTCTAGAATATGCTTCCCAAGTCTGGTCACCCCATCATCAAATTCATATCCACGATCTAGAAAATATCCAAAGGAGATTTCTAAAATATCTCTGGTTTCGTTGTGAGGGAGTGTACCCGGAAATCGGTTTTCCTCATGAGCGTCTACTTGAAAACTTTTCTACGAGGATATTAGTTGAGAGAAGGCAGTCGGCTGATGATGTACAATTTTTATTCAAATTAGTGAACGGTAAAATAGACTCTCCTGAGCTCTTAGAACAACTCAACTTTCATATACCTCGGATATCATCAAGAAATCCACAAACCTTTTATTTGGCAAAACCGAGAATTGATATAGGAAAATTCTCTCCTCTGCGCAGAGCATGCAACATGTATAATTCTGTTCAGGATCAGTGCGACATTTTTAACTGTAGTCTATCAGAAATTAAAAACGTGCGCTTAGCTCAGACATAATTGTTCTTTCCTGTATTTTTTTTGTATCTTACTTTGCTTTTTTAATATGTATTTATTTTAGTATTTAGTTAGTATTTATAGCTGTAAGTTTTCCCACTGAATAATTGGATGTATTTCTGTGAAGTGGTGTAAATAAAATAAAAATAAAATAATAAAATAAAATCTTTGAAAATTGTGCTTTTTTAATACTGCAGGTTATTTAGTCACACCCAGAAAATGAAAACAGGATATAATACGAAGAGTAAAATATAACTCTTTCACGAGCTCTTTTACACTAAAAAAAGTTAAACAAACATGTTCAAAGTTAGTGAAGAGTATTTTCTCGGCTTTCCTCATAAACTCCAATAATATGCTTTAAGCACATATACACCGTAGGACGAAATATTTTCGGCAAAACAACCACTTCCAACACTCTCATTAGCACTGCTGTTCCGTCGTGAACCGTTGAGAAGATACATAGAGGGGAAGGTGGCTCTTAAATATTTTACCTTTATTTCCAGAATACCACGAAAAAAAGTGTATGGTCGGTCTCACAGACCGGGCGCGACTAACGGAAGGTTAATAAAAATGCAAAAACACTCTATTTTGCATGGTATTTTGAGTAATGTACCTACGTATCTACCAAAATCTGGTTAAGGAGAAATATATAACTATATTTAATCAAACATAATAATATTTAAATGACGAATAGAAAATATAATTAAAATTAATCATCTTCTTTATCAATTTCTCCTTCGTCATCGCTATCACTATCATCATAATATCACTATCATCATAATATTCATATCATCAAATACTGGCCGAACTGTCAGTTGGTGATTGTAAGTGACAGCCAGACGTGTATTTTCTGTAAAACTATAGTATAATCTATCGTATGACAAATTTTCGAACTTGGGAAAATAAGGGCAAAAATTTTCTATTTTCCCGATTTTGAATATGCCGCCAGACTCATTTGCCAATTCCGTGAATCAGCCAGACTTAATTTTAATTAAAGTTAATGATAGTATCAATTAATATGCTAAATTTCAAGCTTGGAAAAATAAGGGTAACCGATCCGCAAAATCGGTAAAATTTTTGAATCCGAAAATTTTTAGCCAGACTCACATTCCGTGACTTAAGATAAGCCAGACTGCTATTATCATATACTTTATGTTCTATTTTAGTAAATGTGGAATATTTATGACTAGGAAAATAAGTGCACTTATATTTTAAATTCTTAAAATCTTGTAAACCCATCCAAAAATTTCAGCCAGACTAGAAAATTATTGTGTTGTGTGACTAAGAAAACAAACTATTTAATATGCATCAACTAGGAAAATAAGTGCTAAAAACTTTCACTGCCTCCTGGACTATTTCGTGAACTGCTATATTTTATCCTTTCTTACAAGAAACTTATTTATTCAAGAGTCGGGAAATATATTGACAGACTGCTTAAGCGCAAAATGTGTGTTTTGCATTGTTGAAAATCCCATGCACTCGTTCAGAATTGATTCAGTTGCTCGTTCGAAAATGGCTCTCGGAATTTAGATTTCTGCAGTTTTTCTTTGCTGTAAATGGTTCTTGAGAGAAGCTTTTTTTTCCATCATTTTTGAATGTGTTCTGATTACAAATTTCGTTAGTCTTTTGTGAAGAATTGTTTTTCGGGAAGAAGCCAATTTACATGTAACAGACTAGACATCTGTAATAATTTCTTCCGTAACTCCCATCATTTGAAATTAAAATATTTTCTTCCATTCAATAATTCAACGATTTTTCAGATTTGAAGGCCATAATAATTGGGAAAAATGATGGTTGGTAATAATACGAATTTAGACTT